GTCAATGGTGCTGGAATACCTAGGTGTCTGTCTGCTCAGTGCAACCGAAGCCCGGACCTCGCTGTGTACACACCGAAACAACCCCCCGGGCCCTCCGAGTGCTAAGCATGGTGCTTAGTACTTCTCACGTGTGAAAAACCGTTTACTGGCCGGCCGGATTAATACATGAGACAATATTCCTCAGAGGATACAGTATGTGTCAACGTTAAGCTACCATAGTGCTAGCAGTTCCTACTGAAAATGGTGTCTCTGTTTGGTTTGCTTTCCCTGCACAACTTCCACATCCAGAACTGTCTTGAGCAGGAAAATTTGGTCCATACTTTTGTTGTTGTTCTGCTCATGCGGAGAGTAGAACCGGTGAGAGGGAGGGCAAAACAGACGAGCACTGTTTGGCCTAGAAATGCAAAGCCTGGAGGATGAAGCAGTTTACACTGCAGTCTGGAAAACCCGACCCATGCAGGGTTCTCCCTGTACAGTGCACGACCTAAACCGACTCTTTGCCCTTCCGGCCATTGGTTATGCCGTGGTAAGTTTTATGTCCGGTCTCACCGCACAACGAGGACAGTCGTCAGCTTACTCTAGATTCTCCAGCACAGGGAGTTCTCTGGGCAGGAGTACCACTTCAATGTGATAAGGTTAAACCCTAAGTCATTGCAGTGAAGTCTCCCCAGAAGAATGCACAGATGGCCATGTGAGATACACCCCCACCCCCCTGTCCCACCCCCTGCACCTGCTTGCATTTAGTTGTGGTGGCCCAGACTCACTGTAATGGATTTGGCCTGTGATGCCTGATGATCTTATCATTGAGGCAGATGATCCTCCAACTTGTCATCAGTGAGTTGGGAATTGATATAAATATAGAGTGAAATATCTAGCGAGACAGAGATTTAGAGAGATGACTTGGTTATGGGGTACCTATAGTTTAAAGAATCCCTGCTTCCCCTTCTTGTAATGATAATGTACACTTGCTGATCTCTTGATTAGGAGGTCAACTTTTTCATCCGTAACAATTCAAATCTCATCAAAATTTCTACTTCATGTGTTTTTCTTTGTATTGCATTTGGGGGGGGAGGCTTTTTCAAGTCTGAGGTACAGAGTAGTGCATAAAACAGATCTGCCAGATTTAGATACTTGATGAAAGCCAACGCCCATGTAACCAGCACCAAGGTCAAGAAATAGACCATTGCCAGCCTTCCAGAAGTCCTTCCAGTCTCAACCCACTCCCTCCCCGATGGATATAGTCATTATCCTGACTTTGTGATAATCATCTCAGTGCTTTTCTTCATAGGTTTACCACTTTATATGAAGTTACATAAACTGGATTTTACTGCATGCTTCCTTTTATTGCTCCCTTCTGTCGTTCTGCATCAAATTTGAGAGATTTGTCCATGTCATCCATAGCAGCCGTAGACCCTTGTCTCCATTGTGGACTAGAAGTCCAGTGTATGACGTTAGTGATTATGATCTGATTGTGCCATTCTCTAGGGGATGGACACTAAGGGTTGTTTTTAGTGTTTGACTAGCGCAGTGAACAGTGCTACAATTAGGCAAGAAAAGAAATAAAAGTCATCCAATTCGTAAAGAAGGATGTGAAAGCATGTTTGCTGATGATATGCTCATGGAGATAGAAAATCCTAAAACTCTTCATTAAGACTTTTAGAACTTATAAAGGAATTCAGTATAGTTGCTGAATACAGTATCAACGTACAAAAACCAATTGTATCTAAGCATTAGAAATGAACTATCAAAAATAAAAATAAGGAAATAATCCTATTCAAAATAGCATCAAAAAGTATAAAACATTTAAGACTAAACTTAACTAAGGAGACATTTGTGGAAAACTACAAAATATTGATGAGAGAAATTAAAGAAGACCAAATAAAAGGGAAAGACATAGTCATAAATTGGGAGATTTAATATTGTTAAAATATCCATCTGTGAAATTGGACCCTTACCTAACATTATTCACAAAAATAAATCAAAATGGGTTAGAGACTTAAGTGTAAGACCTGAAA